CACATTTAAATAACACTTGAGAGTCTTAATCTCTCATTTAGACAAAAGTCCCAACCTTAATTACCCCAATAAATCAAATCACAATCACACAAAACCAACACCTTCAAAAACAAGGAAATCTCAGGGAAAAAAACAAACCATGAAGAAAAACATTTCAGAATCCAAAACCCACAAACCTGCAAGTCTCACCAACTCGTGGATCAATCTCCCCTAAGCTCTCGATCTGAATCTGCAACCCTTTCTCATAACACTCAATGGACTTATCAACTTGACCGAGCATTGAATAAGTATCCCCCAACTGCATATACCCACTAAATCCAGCAAGGGCATGATCCATTCCTTTACTCAAATCAGGCACTTTAATAGCCCTTTCAAGTACAGGCACTGCCTCTTCAAACCTCCCTAAACTGCAATAAATAGCACCCAAAACATGAAGACTCATAACAAGATCCAAACTTGGCTCTTCACCTTTTTCAATGGCCACTCTTTCAAAGGAATTTGATGCTCTGATTGCATAGTCCAACGCCTTAATGGGTCCTTCACCGGATGCAATGGTGTCACGGGCGAGCTTTAAGAGAAACGGGCCAAGATCGGGGTTGTCCAAGGAAGGATCCGATAGGAGAGTGTTCGGGTTAGGAGAATCTGGTGGGGGTTTTTTGGCGGAGCGGGCAGGGGAAGGTTTGGATCGAGATGGGGAAGGAGATGGGGGTTTTTTGGGAGTTGGGGTTCTGGGTTGTTCGGATCGGGTTGAAGATTCGGGTCGGATCTCAGGCACAGAAACGTTAAGTGGTGGTGCATCTGGTGGGGTTTTAACAGAGACAAGACCTGGCATGGCTGTCCTGTGAGAGATTGGCAGAGACGGAGAGTGAGTGAAGAAGAGTGAGAGTTATGGAGAAGAAATGGAAAATGAGGGGGGGTGGGTTAAGGAAGAAGGAATTAGGTGATTAGAGGAATATTTAAGAGAAATGATTAAAGACAAGGTACCAAGATGGAACTGACAGGTGGTGGTGGTGGTGGTGGTAAATTCAGTAATCTTTGGTTAGGACAACAAACAACATTAGATCAGATCAGATAATTCAAAGTGAAGGGAGGCGAGCGTTCTTTTCTCAGTTTTTTTTTTTTTTTTTTCATGGATGTCGTTCTGTGATGGCTGTCTGGATTCTCTTTTTACTTTTTACTTTTTACTTATCTAACTGCCAACTGCCAAGTTGAAGGAAAACCTGATTTTGGCTCCTTTCTCGAGAAGAAAAAAATAATAAAATAATATCTGGGCCATTCAATGATTGAGCTGAGCCCTGCCAACTGCCAAGAGGCTGGAGAGAAGAGCCCTGCGGCAACTTCCTGAAGACTTTTACTCTGTTAGCTCCATGATTCGAGTGTATGGTTAAAATGTCATGGTTAGCCCCGCTCGGCCCTAAGGCTCGATCCGTGATAGGTTCGTTTCAAATTGTTCAGGGAGTTAGTTGACTTGGTCCTTGTAAACATAATCTTTTTACTTGTTATCAAACGACGTCATTTCAACTTTCGATCATAACCTTGGGCCATGTACAAGTCTTCAGACCTCCCAGGATAATCATTTTATGGTATGGTAATAATTGCATCTCGGATAATCTTTTATCAGCAAGAGTTCATCTTATATTTTTTTAAATAAGCTCTTTATTCTGTACTCATATAACTTATTTACATAAACTATCCAAAAATAAAGTTTAAATTCAAGACTTCTTTTATGTCTTGAATCAAATTCTTTAAGACTTGTTATAAACAAATAAGAAGAAGAATAAAAAGATAAAATGATTTTAGTTAGCATGGATTATCACTAGGAAGACTAATATTTAGATTTGAGTCTAATTATTTTTTTAATTTACCAGATAGAATTAATTTTTATATTTGTGTAGCATGGATATGTTATATATATCTATATTGTAATTTAAATTTATATATCAACCATTATTATTTAATATTATTATTTAATCTAACTCGATAAAACTTAAATATTAATTCAAATCAAATTTAAATTAAATAAAAAATAGGTTGATTCAATCAAATTTAATTGAATTAACCAACTTTTTAGTGATTTGGTTGACTCATCTAAACTCAATTGAGTTGATACCAAGATATTTGAAAAAAATCAAAATAATATCATTTAAATAAAAATAATTTAACTCATCTTAACTTGATGATGCATGAGATATCCTAGTGACCCGTACTCTTTTCTGAATCAATTCTGAAACTAGGTTTAACAATTATAATATCAATCTTAGAATAAAATTAAAAAAATTATTTTAGAAAAGATGGATACAAGATAGATAAAAGAAAAGATCACACCTAAATTTAGGAAATTTTATTAAAAAAAAATAAAATATTTTAATCTAACTTCAAAAATTTTTTTTTAATTCTCTCTCATCTTTATATCTATTTCTCTTTTATAAAATAAATATTATTAGTTAACAAAATATGTTCACCCAACTGCAAAGAGATTTCAATTCCTTGATTTCGTACGTGGGCCGGGTAATTATCGGGGACAGCTTTATTATATACCAAGATGAGTTGTATATCTCCATTTTCACCATTATTCCTTTCTGGTCTAAAACACATGCTCATAATTTATGCACTCTCTCATTGATTTATTCAACATGAAGCGAGCTCTTCAAGGCGTTGAGGTTTTTGAACAAGTTGTTCAACAGTTAGGGGATGCCAACACCACCACGAAATCTTCGCTGTTCGTGTTTTGGCGGGGGGGGGGGGGC